ATTGTTCATCCTAGTATAGATACTCAAACACTAAATTGATATTTTAGGATCGTGAAAACACCCAAAATCATCCTAAGTGACTTGGGTTGGATCCTAAACTTATTTTGAAGTTTTATTAAGTTACTTAGGGTCTTTAAGTATCATAAAAACACTTCCTTAACAACTAAAATATAATTTAAGGCATGAATAAAATTTGAACCCTAAAATGTTCAACTACTCAAATCTTAGAAATTTCTTGAAATTTATGGAAACTTAATACTGCAAAAGATTAGAAATACACTACTGCGGTGATTGAATCCCAAAATAGAGTTCATTTAGCTAGAAATCATCCTCCACCACGACTTGGATGATAAAATCCCTATTTTCTTGCAAAATAAAACCCAAGCTTGAATATTTACAACTATGTTGTTAGGGGTTTAGTTAGGAAGAATTTGAATATAAAAGAGGCTAAAAAAACTTACATTTACTATGGCTTTGAGAGTAAGAAGAGGGAAAAGAATAAGAGGAGAAATGAAGAGAATGGGAAGATGAAGAAATAAAAGCACTCATCTTTTTAAAAATGGGCTAATTACATTGTTAGTCCCTCTTCATCTTCCTACTATGAAAAGATCCCCTTTTATGGCTAATTGAGCCCAAGACCAACCCAATTAAGCCCAACGACTTCAATTATAATTTTTACAGGATCCACTTTCCTCTCGGGTAAACCCAAAACCGCTAGCTCAGAATTTGGAATGCTACAACTCTCCACTCCTTAAAATAAAATTTGTCTTCAAAATTTACTTGGACTGAAGCAACTTATTCTATGGTGAAACACTAAGACTCATATCCAATCTGATCCCGAAGAAAGAGACCTCACAACCTGACATGTTGTTTGGAATTCAAAAAAATCAGTCTACAATTTTCTGAGGGCACTTTCGACTCTAAACTTTAAGCAAAAACCTTTGAGAAGCATGAACCTAAGGAAATCACATTCTGGCTCTCTAATATTGTACACTCAAATCATTCCACAAGGATGACACTAGTCCAAATATGATTACTAGCGTTAAATTATTATTTGAATAATCTTACTCAATCGGATTAATTCTCTGCGTAACCAATAACCTCTTTTATATACTGAACATATACATCTCATCGCTTCATACCTTAAGATCTTGTGGCATTTGTCAAATTTGTCTCGATACCAACTACTGAAGACATGCTGATAATTCTCGACTATGTCGACCTCTATGGTTCTGCTGTGCAACTCTAATTTAATATTCATCCATAGCACCTGACTGATTCTCGTTTACTTTACAACTATAATACACTATGGTCACCTGATCAAGCATCAAAGGTGTTCACAACTGGGAATCAACCATTAGCTAAGAAAAACTAGCAATATCTGCTCTCTCAGAGAGTACCCTCACAAAACAGAGATCTCTCACACCCACACTCTGACTAAGGATTATGAGATTCTATGGCTGATACTCACTATCGCTTACCACAATCGAGCTATTTGATGACATCTAACATTAGTCAAACATACCTTAACGAACTTGGTTCCTTTAATCTAAGGCACCTAAACATACTTAGTTAGGTCAAGAACTGGATGATCCGCTCCTCTGCTCTCATGTCTAAACATAGAACTGCCACCTCCAGAAGAAGGTTCTTAACCATATTGAGCTACGGGGATCTCTCCCCTCAATCGAGCTGAAGCACTGCCACTCGAACTAATATAATCTTTTACCATAAGAGCTAAGGATTCACATCCATAACATTTTCTTGCGGGTTTAAAGAACCTTTCTAACTGATTTTTACCACAAAGCTTGCACTCTAGATAATCAAAAACTCTATTGAAGCATATAAAGCTCACCACTGATGGTGGAGTTGACAGTTTTCTATAAAAACCCTATAATCCACCTCTTACTTGGCTGAAATGACTGAACTGGCGACACTCTTATCCATTCACTCGGACCTCAGGTCCTCCATGCCACTACCTGATATAGACCTACTGATACACAATTCTTTATTACTCGAGATGCCTGACTCACCCAAAGAACTCATTCTCATACTCTACACTGAAACACCCTAAGTGGATCTACCGTTAATTACACACTGATATCAAAATATATCTACCAAGGAACCTCTTGTACCTCAAGACTTGGTCACAAATAACTCTAGAGCATGACTCACTCAAGTAAGGTATCTTTATCCTATTTCGAACACTGGTGATCTCCCTGAACTTGCTGTGAGAACTGAAATCTCAAATCATCCATATGTGCCTCAGTAATTGTACACTGATATCAAAATGGATCTCCCAAGGAACCTCTTGTACCTCAAAACACGGTCATAAACAACTCTGGAGCATGACTCACTAAAAGAAGGTCTCTTTCTCCTATTTCGAACATTGGGTGATCTCCCTGAACTTGTTGAGAGAACTGAAATCTCAAATCATACATACTTGCTTTAAACTCACTCGAAAACTGATTCCACGTGGGTACCTTTGGATGTAGAGCCATCTATATGGTCTTCCACTGATCGATAGTATCACCCATGAGTAAAACGGTGACACACTCTAAGTTACTCTCTAAGGTAAGGTAAATCTACTTGAAAATCTCATGGTCTTTCTCAACCATTGATCGGCTAAAATTTGATCATTATCACATGAACCAAAGAAGTCGACTTTCTGATACCTCCATAGCCTCTCTACTTGGGATTCTGTTAACACTAACGTGCCCTGGGTGATTGACTGAACTATTTGTGCTCTAGGAATAGCGTCTACTATCTGTATGAGAGTGGAATTTATACCTTTGAAAAAGGTTGCCTTTGCGATACGGGGACTCCAAAAATTGCTACCCTTGGTAGAAATCCCTTAATGACTTTATTGGGGTGAGAGACTCGCCTCTCTATCTGATTCTATGAATTACGTTCGAGGCTATCTATCGTCGCAATTTCTACAACATAAGTTAAGGAAAGAAGCACCATCAGGATTCCAGACTTATACAAGTACTTTCAGTACCTACGTGTATGTATTCACTGACACCTTACTAATACTGACTACTAGTCCTAGAACCGACTCAACCTAACCCTCTAATACCACTAAATGTAACACCCTAAACCCGATTGGGCCTAAAGTGTCATATTAGGCTACCGAGGCAACCCTTGAATCTTAAAACCTATTCATTTTCTTTTTCAAATCTTTCGAATAGTATCATAGTTAAAACATATATAATTGGATGTAAAATATTTTACAAAACTGAAGTTCCATGATACATAATTTATAACCAAATAATACAGACTATGAGTTTAAATAACTGAATACATGAGTAAGGTTCTATGAATACATATGCCCACTAAGCTATGGTACAATACTCTGAAGGATATGCTAGAAATCCTATTGCGACAATGCTTCACAAACTGCTCATTCTACTAACCTACCAATGAAAACATCCGAAGGCTAGGTTTACAAAGCCTAGTAATATAATCGCTAATCTAGAGTAGCATAAGGATATAATAAATGCAAGTGTGTTGAAGACATGGTGTTAAGCAGTAGGTATGCATGATCTAGATCAAGTGCTACCTACTTAAAGATTAGATGTCCTATCATTGAAGTAGGGGTCTCATACTTCCTTAAATCTACTAAGGGTTTAGCCATAAGTACACTTCTAAAGGGTCTCTAATCTTAATATATGACTGGCTCTGTTGTGCATTATCTGAATACAATACTGGTTTTACTATGCATTATCTGAATGCAATATTGACTCTATTGTGACTCATACACTAGCTGAGGTAGGCATCATGGTGCGGCTAAGGGGCTACATCTCGTAACTCACACACCCCTCTATCCTACCAGATACTAATATATGATACACAACAAAAACGATAAGCTATGTCAGACGTCATGGTGCAGCTGAGGGGATGCATATCAGAGCTCACGTACCCCTCTAGAGTGTCGGTATACCCTTGGGTACAACAGGGTAAGATCTGTAACTACATTAGAAACGTACACCGGTCAACTTACTCCGTCGAGTCTTGGGGACTCTGCGCCCAACTGGTAAAAGAAGTGCTACAACAAATTTGTAAATTTATGACAAAATTTATATATGACATTACATATATCGTCACAAAACATACTATAATGTGACATTTTTTTTATTTTCGACATATTTATTGATTAACGATATATCTTTTATGACAATTTTAAAAATAGTCATTGATTTTTGTCACTATATGTTTGGCACCAAAATCTTCCCACCAAATTCTTTGGTGGGAAACCTTTTAATGACATTTAGATAAAATAATGACGTTATAAAATCATCTCCAATGAAAAATAGGTATTAGTGACGATTTATTATAATGACGATTGAATTTGAATTAGTGGTATTACACATTTGTCACTAATAAGTTTTATTCGTGGCAATTTAATTTGTTATATTTTATAAGACACTAAAAGTGACATTTTATTATTGTCCCAAAAAATAGTTTTAGTACGACAAAATCAATTATTTGTCAGTTGTTTTTATATCTGTTTTATACGACGATTTTGAAAGACGTCATGAAATTATGTCAGTTAATGTTAAAAAATAAGATAATCTAACAACCTTATTAAATAATGAAATTTATAGAGTTTTTTTTTATTGACATTATTCTATATTAGATCACTATAGCAAATAAGGTTTATAGCGACGGTTTTAGTGGAGTTTTAGAAGAAACGCCATTACTTTTGCACATATGGTGACGTTTTTAGAAAAGCGTCATAATAGACGAATATATAGTGGTGTGTGAAAACGCCGCTACAACCACGTACTTTAGTTGCATTCGAATAAAAACTGACGCTATAAATTGATATATAGTTTTTTTGGAAAAAAAAGCAACTATAAACGTGTATTATAATAGCGTTTTTAACAAACACATACTTTAGTGGTGTTTGTGTATCAAATGCCGCAATTATTCTGTACTTTGTTGGTATTTTTACGTACATACGCCGGCACAATGCTCCGTCTCTTTTCCCAATTCAAACACTTAACCGTCAAATTTAAAACCCTTTCTTGACTGCATCCCTAATTTTGTCTCTTGTCTTCCCAAAAGACAAATCAAAATCGAAAGGGGAAATCTTGAAGGGGAAAAGATGGTTTTTTTTTTACTTTAAATCCCGACTAGAAGTCGGCAATTACACCATCCTCATGGTTCTTAACAAGTACGAAAACGCGGAGCTCATCAAATATGGCTTCATCGAAGATATCTGGTAATTTACTCGTTTGGTTTCTCCATTTTTTCTATAAACGAAAGTAAATTAGGTTTCTTTTTCCCCTTCCTTCTTTTAGAATTACATATGATTGGGTTTTTTCTCCATTGTTTCATCAAATACGGCTTCATCTTCAAGGGTTTTTCTATTTATTCACGATTTTGCATGGAATTGAAATGCAAATTAGTTCAGGTGCTGAAAAGGTACTCCTTTTATAGTATGATCTTTATAAATAGGTTTTGTGTGCTTAAAAAATAATTGTTTTTTTAATTAAACCCATTGTCTTACGCCTTTGAATCTTAGCGTAGCCAGAAGAGGTCAAATTTGCAATTGTGGATATGAACATAAACAAAATGGTGCATCCCAGGAGACATCCGCAAAAGATATACTTACAGGTTTACCTTTCCTTTTTTCCCTCTCATTTATGTGTAGTTTAATTCTTATTAGTAACTTATTTGTAGTTGAATTGATGTTCGGCTTCTTTCTTCTCTTCGAATAATAATTTCTACATCGGTCACTCTGATTTTGCTTTAAGATGTTTAATTCTGGGTAAGTTTTTGTTCTTTAAATTGTTCGTTTTAAAAAAAAAAGAAACACATTTTACTTTTTGGGTGTTTTTGAGGATCGCTAAAGCATGATTTGAACGGCGTTTTAAGTAGTTTTAATCTGGTTTTTCATAAGTTCATCTGAATTTGGTGCAGATGAAGGTCCCTGTTTGTAGCATCAATCTATGTTTTATGTGTATATTAGTTTCATGGAGTTCTTTAAGAATGTATAGGTTTCATCTTTTAAAATTGAAGCTTCCAGGTTTTATGTGTATATTTGTTTTGCATTTTACAAAGTAGAAAAACTGGTGTTTGATTTGTACTGTTTGAAAGAAAATCTTAAGCATAATGGAGCAGTGTTTTCTCCAATATATTTGCTAATCAAATTTATGAGAACACAAGAAGGAATAAGCTTGCATTACAGTTATTTTTCTAATTTTTTTCTTGACATTGATTTCCTCTATGTATTTTCTAATTTATAGAATGTCACCAAAAAAAAAATTAACATGATTAAATAAGGATATATTTGTATAGATACTAGAGTGGCCATACCAAATAGAGTTCTCATTGCAAGCAATGTCTGTTGCAGAGGTTGTTATAGGGCCTTTATGACAAGAGAAGATTTGTTGAGTTTAAAAGGAGAAAGTAATACTATCCCTCTAGTTGTATAACTTGAGTACCAAACACAATCTAGACAAACCACTATTGCACAGGCTTTTCTATTAGCATTTGTGATCAAATCAGAATTTAGACTATTACCCACCAATCATTTAAGGACTGCCCAGAAATTTTATTATCAAATGGGTGAAACTTGTGAAAAATCATTGAGAAAAACCCAGCCCCGTGGATTTATTTCTCCTTTCTACTTTCTGAGTTTCTCGGCTTATGTTGCTTTCTTCTTAATGGTTTAAGCTTTAATTTGTTTATTTGTCTACAGCCCATACATTTTCGCCTGCAATTTTGAAAGTAGTAATCTATCTTCTCCTCTTTGTTCCTTCACCAACCTTTCACAGGTGAGTTTTTTTGTATATATTTACATTTTGTTTTTTCTATTTTTGTTCTTGTTTTGCATTCTACTTCATTTCAACCGTAATATCTCCAAAAAAATTAATCTTTCTTTTATCTACTTGTTCTGTTTGATAGCTCAGAAAACAAAAAGAATATGGATGGATAGTACTTTACTTTTTCGTTTTTGCTTTTTTTTCTTTTTGGTTTGGTTCTTCTTTCTCTTTTATATTCTGCTTATTATTCAGGTAAAATGGAAAACTCAACTAACATAAAAGGATTTAATGCATAATACAGTGAGACTTTGATCAACTTTTTCCTTTCTTCATGAGCTAAAGAAATGTTGTGCTCTTTTGTTTTAAATATTGATCTCAACAGTGGAAAATAATTCTTGATATCATTATTTTTTTTTTGAAATTAGACTCAGATTTTGGTATGTTCTATTTTCGTGTTGAATCAGGGAGTAAAAATAATTCTCCACATAAGTAATCTGCATGTTTGTAACTTTAGAGTTAAAAGCATAATCTCGTTCGGCACATATAGGTTGATTTCAATATTCTTTGTTATTCTTGTGTTTTCTTTAGCTATTGTGCATTTTTATCTTATAATTCTTGAACCAATTTTTTACTTTTCTGAATTTTGGTTCCCTAAATGATGAATGTCTTGTACTGGCCATGGATCTACATTCAAATGAAGTTTTTTGTCATAGTTAATCTGATAGGGAAATTGATCTCACAACACACAATGCCTTTTTGATTTGACTCGTAGAGGTGATTGAGAGATGTATAATATAAATTTGAAGGATAGGCAACTTTGCCGAGGTGTTCAATCTTCTATTTAGCCCCTCTTTTCCCTGTTGCCAATATTATGTTTTGTCATGTTAGGCTGCCTTAGGCTAGTCCATCTTTTATTGGTTTATGCCAGTTGCCCTACATGACCAACATTTTCTTTATAACTAACACAAAGTGAGTACAACCTCATGGCTGTTTTTATTTAACTGTTGAGAAATACTGTCAAGTAAATGCTATATTTTTCATTGTTTCAAAGTTTTACCCTGTCTAGAAATATTGGTTTATTTAACTCTTTTTCATGTATATATATATATATATATATATCTTTTGTTTGTTCACATGATTCCTATGTGATCAAGAAAATCTTGAGCTATGGATTTAGTTCCAATGTAGCCTCTTTTAGTTATAGTTACATTGATAGAGAATCATGTGTGATCTCCCTTTGTGCCTCGCTTTCTATCATCTGTTTTGACCATCCAACCCTCATGTTGCAGTGGGAAGACAACTCACTGGAGATCAATTGTTTTCTTTTTCACACTTAAATTATCAAACATAGTCTGGACTTTCAAATTTTCCTCTATTCTATTTTCCCTAGGCGATTAATAATTTTCAAAAGCTATGGACCAACATCCAAGTGAGGCTTTTGTCATAGTTACTGTGATTGGGAAATGTTTTTAATGTTCCTCCTTTTCTGATGAAGTATTACTAGTTACTAGTTTCCTTTGTAATTTATATTGTTTACAACATGCATCCATACTTCAATTGATATTATCTGTTGTACTTAATGTCTTTTGTTATGGTTTTAATGGCAGAATAAAGATGTAATGGATGCAATTCAGAAGGTAGCTGCAGCTTATGACTGCAAAATTGTTGAAGGCGTTCTTAGCCATCAACTGAAGCAGTTCGTGATAGAAATGAAATTATTATGTTTTTAGTGAAATATTTGTTTAAATCTTATTATTTTGTAATAATTGAGCTATTTTTTTATTTAGATTTGTATAAATAATTTTAGTTTAATATATATTGTCATTAAAAATGTGACAATTTTTAGTTTTGCCACTATATTGGTGACATTATATATGGTGACGTTATGCATAATCATCATTCATAATATTATTAGGTAACAATATATTATGTCACTAAAAATGTGACTATATTTCTCGTCACATATAAGTTGATTTTAATGCATTATTTGTGACAATATAAACTATCAATAACGAAATCTTATTTAATTTAGTGACGTAATCAACTGTCATAGAATATAAATTGTAAAGTGACGCTATGCATAGATGTCATTCATAATATTATTAAGTAACATTTATATTATGTCACTAAAAGTTTGACAATATCTCTTTCGTCACATATAGGTTGATTTTAATGTATTATCTTTGACGATATAAATCATCAATAACAAAATTGTACATAATTTAGAGACATAATTAGTTGTCATTGAATATTAATTATATAGTGATGTTGTATATAAATGCCATCCATGCTACTACTAGGTGACGATATACTACGTTATTAAAAATGTGACAATTTTCTTTTTGTCACGTATACAATGAAATTATTGTGTCATTGGTGACGATATGATTTATTAATGACGAAAATGTACATCATTTGATGACAAAAGTAATTGTCACTGAATGTAAATTAAACTGTGACGTTATCCATTAGAGTCACTATATATTTAACAATACATGACGATAACACATACATCGTCACTTTTTACATTTAGTGACACACCTAGGGTGACGATCGTCGTGACATTAACTTTTACGTCACAAAATACATCTAGTGACATAAATTGAAGTTTTAGTGCCAATAACCTAGATGCCACTAATAAAAAAATTTATTGTACTATTGGCACAGATTGGTATATACCTGAAGATACTGAAAAACAAGACAATCGCCCAACTACTAAAGTAACTTGGGTGTCCTGTTATTTCCTAAGTGCCACACAAAGGCTAGTTTTATGACACCCTAATTGTTATTGTTTCTAGTTGTTCTGAGTTATTATTGATCATATGTTATTATTGATCTCGTTTATTTTTTAATGACTGATATCTCGCTCGTTCTCTCATTTAGCACGCTATACAAGGGTTAATTAATCTGTTATTACTGTTAATCTGTACTGATTTGGTTATTTGCTACTTAAGGGTATTTCAGTCATTTTCTGACTCTAGGGAAGTCTCTACCTGTTTCAAAACTTCACGACAATTACAGAGTTAATGGGTACTGGCTGAGGTTCTGGTTGGATTGATATCTGACTCGGGTATATACAAGGATCTTCTCTTTGCATATTTTGGTTTTTGTGAATGAGAATTCTTTGAACATATTTTGGATTTGCTATAAATATTAAGTCTTCATTTGTTGGTTAATCTATTGAATCTGGGTGCGTAGTGCTTATAGAGTAACATTACGGTGACAACTTTAGATGCAACCTTGACGACGAGAATTGGGTAGGTTGTGAACGCATTAAATTAGAAGTAGAATCTGAGAGGGAATGACACTTGGTTTAGCGGGTTTCTTTAGATATCAACGAAAGATATGCTTAGTATAGTTGCAAGAGCTTAACTTGTAAATAATAAAAAAAACTGTCTAGTGGTAAGTTTGCTCTAGTGGTGTACGATCTATTGAATGCCCCATTCTTCCCATTGATTTAGTTTTTATTTACTTTTTGCACTGTCGACACAATATTCACATTCACAACAAACTCATGCAACTTTGACTTTTATCTTTCCTTTTACAGAGTTAGATCTAGCAACATAAAATCCTTAACTTCTTTCCCTGTGGGTTTGACATCCTTAGCCAAAAGGCTATCATTATTCTACGCGTGCACCTATTGCAGTCATATATACATATCGATCAAGTCTTGGCGTCGTTGTTCTTATTGTTGTTTTTTTTACTCTATTTGTATATCTTTAGTAGTTGTCTAACTCATTTTATTTTTCTTTGTTTACCCTTATTGTAATGACAACAATTACAGTCACAGTGCATGTCAGGAGCAACCCTGGTGATCTATTAGATTTCGACATGAACCTGAAAGAACTCTCAACCAGCGAAAGCAAGCACAAGATCGAGCTCGACGAGAGATGGTGCATAAACTGATTAGTTACTTTGTTGTTCCTGTTTTAGATTACCTGCAACCTGGGGTGGTGCGACCGACCATCTAAGTAGGCAGCTTTGAACTTAAACTGGTCATGTTTTAGATGCTAAATTCAAACGAGGAATACGCTAGTCTACCACTTGAGGATACTAGGGACATCAAATCTTTTCTTCTGATTTGTGTTTCATTTTCACAACAGGGTGTTCCAAATGATGCCCTAAAAATGCAATTGTTTCTGTATTCTTTGTAGGGTAGAACAAAGACATGGTTCTTAAGCCTACCAGCTGGATCTATCACATCAAGGAATGAATTGGCCACACAATTGGAAAAAGTGTGAATAGAAAATTAGTTTTGATTTATCTAAGATGTTTTGCAATGCATTTTTAAGTATATCATTGCATGTATAGAGATAAAAGTATATCTATAATAATCTCAATCAACTTGTTGAACTAAAATCTTGCTGAATTTAGTTGCGTTCGCATCTGTACTAGCAAGCATGTATCCATTGCTTTTGTCAATTAGCTTTACAAGATTCCCCACACTCTCATTATCCTGAAACAACAATCTGCATAACAGCAATCTTCATAAAACTATAAAATAAAGAGAAGGAAAACAATTTAACTCGAGAAAGCTAGAATTACTAGCATGCCTAAATATCTAAGGTTGTGAAATCGACAAGACTGAAGCTTCTGATCACGTCAGAGAGTTCCCCTGTAAAGTTTTTGCAAGAAAAAACCTCAGGTGAGTGAAAATAGCTCGAACACTGGGTGAAGTTAAGATTTAGGATGAATATAAATCACCGACTAAGCTAATTATGAATTGTTGACCGAATAAAACTTCATGACAAACACTTATGGTTGTATCTCATTGAAGCATTTCAATTTAACCTTTGAACAATAACCTTTCAAAATGTAAAATTGAGGATGCATACCCCAATTCTAGTTCAGATGAAGTTTAAACTCACAAATGAAACTCTTAACATGTAAACTTATTTTAAGAAAATAAATTAAACATAAGGCATAATACACTTTTAGGTGCCTAAACAATATCTCAAGTTAACTTTTGGTGCTTAAAGATTTTTTCGTTAAAAATAAGTGTCTAACTTTTTTTCTGTTACACTTTTAGGTGCATACCCTCAATTTTTTTTTTACTTTTTAAAGGCTTAATACACTTTCAGGTGCCTAATATATAACTCAAATTGACTTTTGGCTCCTAAAGAATTTTTCACTAAAAATAGGTATCTAACGTTTCTAACGTTACACTTTTAGGTTTTTGAAGCGTAATGACCATTAAATTTGGTTGCTATGTGACACGTGTCATGAATATAAAATTTCAAAAAAATATTTAAAAAAAGATTTAATATTATAATTTTAAAAAATACTAAATTGCATCGTCGATTGGCCATTGTGGTCATCACCGTTGACACCATCAAAACTCTCATCGCCGTGACCAAATCCCAATCCCCCACACATCGTGAAACTATGTCAATCGTCGTAAAAATCACCACAAAGGGATATCGATTTTCTAATTTTTCCTTCGTTATTTTTTGACGATTTCGACGACTACAACTGGTCGTACATTACATGTTGCCACCATTAAGTTCCTCGTCCTGATCCGAACAAAACCTAGCCAGTGGTGACCCTTCATCATCGTTGGAGGAATGAGATAGGAGGGAGAGGGACGATGAGGGGAGGGTTTGATTTCTTTTTAATTTTTTAAAAATATTTTTATTATTAAAAAATAACAGTAGGTACATAAAAGTGTAACGGAGAAAACGTTGGGCACCTATTTAAAATCTTTAGGCACCAAAAGTCAATTTAAGGAATAATTTAGGCACCTATAATTTTATCTTTTTATTTTTATTTTATTTTTGATATTTTATATATGCGACACATGTCAGATAACAAGCAATTTTAACAGTCGTTATGGTTTAGACGCCTAGTGTAACGTTAGAAACGTTAGGCACTTATTTCTAGCAAAAAAATTCTTTATACATCAAAAGTCAATTTAAGGTATAATTTAGGTAACTAAAAGAAAACCCTAAACTTAATGATCATTTTTACCCAAAAATACCCAAACAATCAATAATTACCTGTTAGGCACGCTTTCTTCAAATATTACCGGTCTAGAACCAATTATGAGAGAGTGATAATAAAGCGTGTTTCAGGATACACGCCTTGCAGACGTTGACGGAAGGTTCGGATCATGAAGCATGCCTTCCTGATTCTATCCGAGCTGGCACCACGGTAGAAAAGTGTGGATTGTAATTCACGCCTTCGTATGGTTTTATAACACGTCAGGCATGCACGGATCATGAAGCGCGCCTTTGATTATTCCCCATCAATTATTGCCCGTTCTATTATTACCACAGCTTCCTTAAATCCCGAACGACCCATCCCCCTCCCCTATAAATACCCCCAAATCCAAATATCAAACCACACCAAAATTACATTCACATTCTTCCTTCTATAAATTCCTTCTATCAAGTAGATTTTGTTACAATTTTTAGAAGGTAAAATTATTTTTATAATATTATATTTATTTCATATTTAATTTATTTGACCAAATTTTATTGTACTAATGATTTTTTATTACTTTTTGCGGTTGTAAAATGGAAGGTGAGATCATATCTCAAGTCATTTTGTTGATACGGTAATATTATTAAATTGGGTTATTTAAATTATTGTAAATAGTTTTTTAATTTTTTTAGTAGTAGTTTATATTTTGATTCGTATACTATTTATTTATTTAGGAGAATGATCGTATATTAGAAATAATTATTCATTTTTGCAGATATAAGATTTTCAATCTTTCAAACTCTAAAAATGAGGCGTATTTCAACCATTATTTACTATGATGGA